GCAGGTGGGTCTGTTGGACCCCGCCTGGCACGGGGCAGCCTATGCCCCCTGCTGCAGCTCCCTACTCCGGCTCGGCAGTATTTTTCCTAGCAATGGCCTGGCCTCAGGGAAGGAGAAGGGGGAGCCGGGCACTGAGCCCCAGCAGGCGCGCGGGATCTGTGCCATGGCCGGGAGGAGGGAAGGGGCACTGTGGCAGTTGCTTTGGATGTACCCTGGATCCCCATATCGTGCCCTCCACCTCATCCTGCAGCTAGCAAGAGGGTCTCGCTGCGACTGGCGTGGGTTGTCCCCAGCAGCAGAGCAGCTGCCATCAAGCAGGCAGCGTGGGCGGTGGGCACAGAGCCGGCCCCACGAGCAGGCAGTGGGGATGCACAGGGGTGCTCTGCGGTACAAATGGCTTTTCCTTCCTTCTCCAGACACCGTTCCAGCAGCAAAGATGGCTCAGACAAACCCTCTGCCTGTCCCCATGGGCCCATGGAAGGTATGTCCTTGCACCCCATTGCATTTCCCTGTGCGCAGGTTGGGGACAGAGAGAGGGGAAAAACCAGTCCTCTGGGGCCAGGAAAGCTGCACAGCAGGCAGTGAGGCAGGCGGGAGTGGAGGAAGCAAGGTACCCCCGTCCTCTGTCCGTAAGAACTTGCCTTCTGCCTGCTCAAACACCTCCTGGGTGTTTTCCATAAGTCTCTTTGCAGCACCCTGGCCCGGCTATGCTCTGCTCTTACCAGTCGTCCTGTGCCAGGTAGTTACAGCAGTCCCCAAAAGCTGCACGCTGCTTTTCCCCCTCCCGTCGGTGCAGGCAGGCTGGCAGGACGGGCAAGGGCAGGCATGGGGCTGCAAAGGGGCAGTGGGCACGGCAGAGCAAGGTGGGGAGCAGCTCCAAGGGATCTGGCAACAGCTCTGGGGACACAGTTTGAGGAGGGGAGCCAAAAGGGAGAGGAGAAGCACGTGCGCAAGCGGGATGCACCTCACCAAAGCCTGGAGCTGTCTCGGGAGAGGAGAGCATCAGCCGTAGCCCCCTGGGGAGTTCCGCCTCGCCCTTTCCCCCGTTAATCCTCTTTGCCCTAGAG